TGTATCCACCTATAAATTAGCCCTCCTCCTTCCTTCTTCTCAGGTTTGTCATCAAGACCAAGTAAGATAAGTCAGGCAGGTGGTATTATTAACCATGTTAAATCTGAAAACACTGTTGTCTCTAATAAATTAAACTGCTGGAGCTACAGAGTAAAATGGGGGCACCATGTACTCCCTATCTTTCTTTCCTTCTTTCATTCTCTCCAGAGCACCAACTCCAGCTAACATTAGACATATTGTGCTCAACCATCTGTCCCCACCAGCTAAACAGAAGCTGCTTGGGGCACAGACCTGTGTGTGCTTTGCTCACTGTTGTACCTTCAGTGCCTGAATGACTGGTGCACACTAGGTGCTCAGTATACAACTGCTGAAAGAATATATTACCAGCTCTAGTAACCCATTTTGAAACAAGCCAAACAACATGTTATCACCTGCTGCTGACCCACATTTGACACCACTGCACAGAAACTGAAGAGTCAACTAAAAATTCTAACTTCCCCTTTATAAGCAGGAAAAGGAACTGTAAGAGTGGAATAATCAGGAGCTCCTGGATAGGCATGCCAGAAAAGGAAAAGGCTTCCAACAGAGTCAAGTTGTGGCTTCACAGTAACTCTCGTTTCTTAAAATGAATGCAAGGAAACTCCAAAGGCCAGTGAGTTCTCAGTTTCAAGGGAGAAGCCTTGTGATTTCCAAATGCACATTTTTCAGAAATGAGTTCACTGCCAAGAGCTTTCTGAAGTCAGAACTGTGAAGATTAAACCCAATTAAAGTAAGTAGTAATCAGTATGCCACAAACTGGATAACCTAGATGAAATGGACAAATTCCTAGAAACATACAATGTAACTAAACTGACTCATGAAGAAATAAAACATCTGAATAGACCTATAATTAAAAAGAGGACTGAATAAGTAACTAAAAACCACCCAACAAAGAAAAGCCCAGGGCCAGATAGCTTCACTGGTGAATTCTACCAAGCATTTAAAGAATTAACACCAAATCCTTCTCAAACTCTTCTAAAAAATTGAAGAGGAAGGAATATTTCCTAAATCATTCTATGAGATCAGCACTACCCTGATAAAAAAAAGCCAAAGATACTTTAAGAAAACTACAAATCAATATTCCTTATGAATATTGTTGCAAAAATCCTTTAACAAAACATTAGCAAACTGAATTTAATAGCATATTAAAAGGTTTATACACTATGGCCAAGTGGAATTTACTCTTGGTTGATTCAACCAGGATGGTTCAACATGAAAAATCAATCAACATAATACAGTAACAGCAAAAAAACCACATGATCATTTCAATTCATGAAGAAAAAGCATTTGACAAAATTCAACTTCCTTTCATGATAAAAAATACTCAACAAACTAGGAACAGAAGGAAACTTCCTCAACTTGATAAAGACCATATATGAAAAACCCAAAGTGAACATCACACTCAATGGTGAAAGACTGAATTCTTTTCCTCTAACATCAGGAACAAAACAAGATGCCTGCTTTCATCATTTCTATTCAGCATGATACTGAAAGTTCTAGCCAGAGCAATTAGGCAAGAAAGGAAAAAAAGGCATCCAAACTGAAACAGAGGTAAAATTATCTCTGTTCACCAATGACATGATCTTACATGCAGGAAACCCTAAAGAGTCCACACATACGCAAAAACTGTTAGAATAAATAAATTCAGCAAAGTTTCTGGATACAAAATCAACAGACAAAAATCAACAGCATTTCTATACACTGGCAATGAGCAATCTGAAAAGGAAATTTAAGAAAACAACCCCATTTACAGCAGCACCATAAAGAATAAAATATTTAGGAATACATTTACCAAGGAGGCTAAAGACTTGCACAATGTGAACTAGAGAGTAATGTTGAGAGAAATTAAAGAACTTAAATAAACAGAGAGACATCCCATGTTCATGCATTAGAAGACTTAATATTGTTAGGATGGCAATACTACCTAAAATGATCTACAGATTCAATGCAGCGCCTATCAAAATCTCAACGGTGTTTTTGCACAAATAGAAAAACGTATCCTAAAATTCACATGGAATTTCAAGGGATCCCAAATAGCCAAAACGATCTTGAAAGAGGACTAAATTGGAGGGCTCACATTTCCTGGTTTCAAAACTTACTACAAAGCTACAGTAATCAGAACAACTTGGTACTGACATAAGGACAGACACAGAAACTAATGGGACAGTATAGAGCATCCAGAAATAAACCCTCACATGTATGGTTAAATGATTTCCAGCAAGGGTGCCAAGAACACTCAACAGAGAAAGGACAGTCTTTTCAGCAAATGGTACTGGGAAAGCTGGATATTTACATGCAAAAGAATGGACTGGATCCTTACATTATACTATATACAAATATTAACTTAGAATGGATCAAAGACCTAAATGTAGGAATTAAAACTAAAATCATCAGAAGAAAACACAGGGGAAAAACTTCATGATCTTGAATTTGACACTGGTTCATTAGGTATGATACCAAAAGCAGGATAAACAACGGGAAAAAAAAAGATAAATTGAACTTCATCAAAATTTAAAACTTTGTGCATCAAAGGACATAATCAGGAAAGCAAAAAGACAACTTTGGGATGGGAAAAAATATTTGCAAATCACTTATCTGATAAGGGGTTAATATTCAGAATACATTAAGAACTCCTACAACTCAACAGCAACCAAAAACCCAATTAAAAAATGGTCAAAGGACCCAAATAGACTTTTCTCCAAAGAAGATACACAAATGGCTGCAGGCACATGAGAAGAAGCTCAATATCACTAGTGAAATGCAAATCAAAACCACAATGAGATACCACTTCACACCCATTACAATAGCTATAATCAATAAAACAGAAAACAAGTGTTGGCAAGGATGTGGAGAAACTGGAATCTTCGTGCATTGATGCTGGGAATGTAAAATGATGTGGCTGCTATGGGAAACATAGTGGTTTCTCAAAAAGTTAAACACAGAATTACTGTATGATCCCAAAATTCCACTTCTGGATATATACACGAAAGAAATGAAAACATGGACTCAGAGAGATATTTGCATGTCCATTACTCACAGCAGCCAAAAGCTAGGAGCAAACCAAGTGTCCATTAACAGATGAATGGATAAACAAAATGTGGTATATACATACAATGGAATATTATTAAGCCTTAAAAAGGAATGAAATTAACACATGCTACAACATGGATGAACCCTGAAAACATTATGCTGAATGAAATAAGGCAGTCACGGAAAGACAAGTACTATATGATTCTACTTATATGAGATACCTGGAATAGTCAAATTACAGAGACAGAAAGCAGAATGGTGGTTGCCAGAAGCTGAGGAGAGAGAAGGATAGGGAACTATTGTTTAATGGCTGCCGAGTTTCCATTTGGGGTGATGTAAAAGTTCTGGAAATAGATAGTGGTATAGTTACATAATACTGTGAATGTCCTTAATGCCACGGAATCGTACATCTAAAATGGTAAATTTTATGTTATGGTATTCTACCACAATTATTGAAAAAGCAAAAAATAATCAGGTCCATATTTTCAGCCCATGGAGAGAATCCCTCTTAAAAGGCCAGTTTTCCTGACACCTGGGGCATCCTTCCCATGTCAACAGGCCATAAGGATGCTATCTTGTCCTTTGTATTCTGACCTCAAGCCCAGTTCCAATAAGGTGGGCCCTGAATCCAAGCCAACAAATCAGGCTGACTAGCTACTGTTTGTAAGGCTGAGGACTGAGCTTCCCACTTCCCCAGGCTAGATAGTTTGCAGGGATAACTGTCTGACAGGGCCGACGAGTTGCCAACAAAAGCAGAAGCCAATCCCGCTGGCTTTCACTCTATTATTTCCCCTTTCACTTTCCCAAAGGACACCACCCGGGCATGCAGAAAGGAAACAGGGGTCAGACTGCCCAGTCTGATTTTCTGACTTGGAAAATGGAGTCCCTATTTCCCCTTATTCCTTGCAGGTCTAGATATTTAATATCCTTTGTATTTCTTACAGTTCAGGACAAAGCTTTCGCTCATGCAACAACAGCAGAACGAAATTATCTCCATCCTTTGCAGTCTCTAGGGTCTTTTCATACAGATTACCCTGTTAAATCTCAAAGTAATCCACTGAGAATGAATGTGCAGGAGTTGTTATCCTCCACTGGAAACATGAAGAAACCGGGGCTCATGGAGACGAAGCAATTTGTCCCAAATCCCATATCCCTAAGTGACAGGATCAGGGTTTGCATACAAGTAGTGAACTTCAGAGTTCTCTTTCCCCTCTATTATTTCGGAAATATGAACAAAGTATAAAAGGAATGAGACCATTTTGGTGTCAACCAAGACCAAGGAAAAATGTTTCCAAGTTTGGTAACAAATAGGACTAGGAGGTCCATTCCCCAGATAAGAGCCTGGTAAAGAACTAAGCGCCTGCCTCTTTCCCTGAGGTCTACCCTAACCCAGAAACGGGTCCTTCCTTTAGATTTTTGGTACTCAGTGGTTCCAGCTGGGCACCTAGAGCACAGTACGGTACTGCCCTACTGCCCTACTGCCCTGTCCAAGGCACTCTGGCGGACAGGGGAGAGTCGGGCAGACTTGTCGAATTTCCCCAGGGGTGGAGACGGCTGGATCATGGGAAAACAGAAGATTCGGCGTGCTCAGACGGGAACAAATAACGTCTACACCAACGAGCGTCTGAAACTAAAAGTGGCACTGGAGACCCACACGAGAAACACCGGACAGGAGTCAAACGGTATGCGGCGCGTGGACCACTGTCCTGTGAGTCCCTGCACATGCGCGAAGACAACACCAACGCAGAAATAGTACCGCTCCGCACCACCAGACTTGGTGGGCGGGCACAGACTCCTCGCGCATGCTCCAGCCGCGTGCGCACGCGCATCCTGGACATCTCCCTTTTCTCAGTAGTCCCCTGCCCTCTCGTCGTGATGCGAAGTCCGAATGCTGGCTACCTCAGCCAAGGCCCTCACTTTGCATTCCTCACCTTGCGCCCGGTTTTCTCCCTTAGGGCCTTCAGCCGTTCCTTCCGTCGCAACGCCTCTTCCTCTAACCGTCCCACACCGCCCGTAGTAGCCGCCATCTTGCCCGCAGACCCCCTCTTCTCTTGTGCCGCATCGCGCAGGCCCAAGGAGTAGATGACCCTCTCACGGCCAATCCAGGGACGAGGTTGGTGGAGCCGGAAGTCCTGAAAGCCAATCAATGCTGAGTTGCTATGGGAGGACCCGCCCTCTTCCTACCCGGCAACTCGCCTAGCTCGTCCAGGACTGGCAAAGAAAAAAGCTCTAAGGCTCGATTCGTCCAACGCCTATCAGCGAGAAAGCAGCAAGTGGGATCAGACCTGAGTGAAGGAGGATAGAGCGCGTCGATCGCCCTGGTTTTGCCTAAGCGCCAACTACAGGTCACACTATGCTGGCCAGTTGGAACGCACTGACCCATCCTTATCCAGTTGTTTTGATTGTCCAAGGCTCAAGAATGCCTTCAAGAGCCCTCCCTGACTCTCCTCTCTGACCCCAGCCTAAGAGGCCTGCCTCTCCTTTCCTCTCAAGCTGTCAGTAGCTCCCTGGATGCACTTGTTCATGGGCTTCTAGGCTTTTCTGTCCATTTTCAGCTCAGACAAAGCCTAAGCAGAGCAGGGCTTGGCTGATGGCCACTTCCCTCTAGGTTCATGGATGATCCCCTCCTACCTCCAAATCCCCTAGAGTGGCAAAATACCCACGGTAGACTACCTACCCTGGAGAAGAGCAAACCCCCATCTGGGTCTAGTGGGCCCCAAGGTACCATTCTTAGCTTAATTCCTGAGAACTAAGCTGACAGTTGGTTTGGCCTCGACTGCAGCAGGTGGCCATGAGGTACAATGCTTCCCAGGGCCTTCTTTCCTGAGTTAATTAGCATGCCCTGACAACTGAGAAACTCTGACTGAAGTCAAGATCTTTTGACAGCATGTGCCATTTCCCAGAGCCACATCTCCTCCCACCTGCAGAGAGGAGGCTATCCCTCCCTCCTTCCCCCCCACTCACTAAGGCGTGTCTCTCAGCAAGGCTGTTCCCTGCTTGGGGCCTCCCTTCCCAGGCTGGCACAAAGTAGACTCCCACTCCCTTCCGAGTTTCCTTCAGAGGCCCCATTGCTATAGGCCCCTGTCCAAGTAGCCCCCACAAACAACCCTCTTGACCTCAGTATCAGGTGGCATGCCCTGCCAGGGCCTACTGTGCAAGTAGTATGCAAAATGCAGGTAGTAAGTGCTCAGGAAATGTCAGCTCAGAGGTAAGATAGATGGGGCAGGAGGAAAGGCCAGTGGAGGAGCTGCCCAGGAAGCCAGGAGGATAGATGAAGCCAAGAAGACAGGATGGGTCTGTCTCCTCTTGGCTACTCAAGGTCTAGGAGGGTCCAGAGTGGTCAATTCCTCCAAATGACGGTAACTCTCTGGGTCCCACAGTTCCTCCCAGTCCCATCACCCTTGCCCAACAGCAGCCCCCCTCCCCCGCAACCGCAACAGGGATTGGGAGAAGGTGGGTGAGAAAGAGGCCCTGGGTGATAGTGACAGTGGTTCTGGAAAGAGTCCGTCAAGCCTCTGTCCCTGTCCATGTTGTCCCTGGATGCCCAGGTGGTCCTCGTTTGGCCCATCTCGGCCTCAGTTTCTCTGCATGTAAAACAGAGTCATGAGGCACTTTCTTGCCTTTAAACTTTTGAAGTTAAAAAAAAAAAAGATGTGACTCAAGAACTGAGCCCTAAAGTGGAGAGTGCCTCCATCGGAGCATCTAGGAAGGCTTCCTGGAGGAGTGGGTCCAGGCGAGGCGAGGACTGCCTAAATCTCCCAGATAGAGGGAACTGCTCCTGCGGAAGTATTTCAGGCTTGTCCTGCTGTTTCCTGGTGCGGGCCTCCGCCCCGCGCACTCCCGCCACACCATCCTGCTCCACAAACAGTAAGAGCAGAAAACTGGCACTTTAGTCGCCCCATAAAGCGCTTAGTCCAGGGCCTGGCACGTGGTAAGGTGGTCGTGATGGTTGTTGTTAACATTACTTATGGAAGGACACTGCCTGTCTGCACCCGGCCCGCAGCCCCTTCCCCCAACCCCGCAAGCCTGTCCCTTGCACGAATGGTGGCCATTCCAACCAGGCGGGCTGCGTCCCAGTCACATCTAGACCTAAAGCAAGTCTGGAATCCCTCATCCCGACCCTAGTCCGAGAGGGTCAGAATGGCCCTTCCCCAGGCACTAGTGAAGGTACGGATTGCAGAGGGTGGGGCTGCTGGGCGCCCCCCGGAGCCGCCCTGACCTCAGGCTCCTCCTCCCGCCAGACACCCCGCCCTTTGCTCGGTCCCGGGAGAGGCGGGGCGGCGGTGCCCGCCGCTAAGTGCAGGAAGCCGGGCTGCGGTCCGCGGGGAGG